GTCAGGTATGGTCTAGGTATACTTGATCCTGCCTCAGTGCAGGGGGGTGGACTAGATGACCTCTTGAGGTTCCTCCCAGTCCTACATTGCTGTGATTATATGATTGAATTTTATCTGCCACCATGTGCCACCATTCTTCTAGCTTTCTGAGGTCCCTCTGATGTTGCTCATGTCTTTTCTGACCTTGACTAACCTAAATAATTTTATGTCATTTGCAAATTTTGCTACTTGTGTGCACACCTCCTCTTCAGGATCATTAATAATAAAACCTTATGTTGCCCCACTGTTTATCTTTTGCCATGCTACAAATTGGCCATTTATTTCTATTCGTTGTCTTCTCTTTCTTAACTCATCTTTAATCCATCACAGTGCTTTACCTTTCACTCCACAACTTAGTTTCCTTAATAGTCATGTGGGGGACTTTGCAAAAGGCTTTTTGAAAGTCCAAATAAACTATATTGACTTGTTCTCCATTTAATTATTATTTTGCTGACATGTTGGAAGAATTTGAATAGAACTGCAATAGAGTAGATAGATCACCTTGTAATTACATTACTATTATCCTTGCCGTACTCCACCACACTCCAAACCCTCCTTGCTGTTTATTCCCATTGCATCACTGCTAAATGCAGATTGTAAATGTGTTGGGGCAGGTTCCCTTGTCCTTTTTGTCTCTGTTCAGTTTAACATAGCTTTAGTCACTTTAAAAATAACAGAATAATCTGAATTTCAATCTCATCTACAAACCACTGTTTTCTCCCTTACTGTTGCCTCCACATTCTTCTCTGCCTTGGCTGTTATTTAACTTTGACAAAGCATTCTGAAATACTTTTGTATCGAAGATGCTAACATTATGTTGTATCATCATTATAGGAACTGCAGACCAGCCTTTTGAGGTGCATTGGCAAAGTTGTGTGGGGCTGAGGACTGGGGCAACAGGGGGAGCTGCAGATCAGGAATAAGGTGTTTTTACAGAGCTGTGTTGTAGAAGGTCTGCACCATTTTTGCCTGGCTTTAGGGAGCATTGTTTGTCCTTCCCTTAGATGAGAATTGAACTTCAGCCCAATCATTGAAGAGAAAGCTAAATTTAGAGAAAAAAGACAAACATATGCGGTAGGAATTGAGCTGTGCCAGAGCCATACTTTTAAGGTGGATTTTCTTCTCTCTTGAGGAGTGTTTGTCAATGAGGATATAATGGAGCCAAAGAACCAATGCGGAGTACTCTGCTGTGCTTGTGAGTGACAGGGCTGGATTCCAGAGAGAAGTTGGACTCTCAGGTAGAGCACTACAGTATTAACCTCTAAGAGCATGTTCCACAGGGCAAATTCAAGTCCAAGAAATCTTACCCTCTGATACTGCTGCTTGACTCCTTTGCTTAGGAATGTGCTCCCTGAAACATAGGCCATTACTCCATTATACGTCAGGTGAACTTTGAGCTGCTTGTTCAATGTTGGAAGGGAATTAAACCAACGTATAGCCAAGTCCACGTTGGACGGTTTATGATGTTTAATGTTTATACAATACAGATAACACAATATCACTAAAATGAGCTGTTGATCATAAGCCAGCTATAGACAATAAACTATCAACAACTTGTTCCTAGTGCCGGTGGTTATTAGTCTCCAGTGATGGTAGCTGACAATATTGACTGGAAATCCTTTTTAAAAGAAGCCAACCCAAGAAATCCACTTGCCTCCAAATCACCAGGGGTGAGCACTATGGCAGAACAGTGTTTGTAAATACCATAGGAGTAGAGCTGTATGGAGGACAGAAATCCTGTTTCATGGAGGATTTCAAGATTTTGAAATATGGCTTTATTCTCCGTCAGAATGAAAACACCAAACTTAGAAATTCTCCCTGAAGAAAAACTCAGAAAGAAATCAATTTAGGTTGATCAAAATGTTTTATTTGGACAAGATTGAAAAGTTTTTTGATTTTGACTTTTAAAATGTTTTCTTGTAATGTAATAATAATATATAAAGTAAACAAAAAATCAAAAAGTTGTTTCAAAACAACAAATATCAAAATGTTTCATTCAGAAAATGTCAAAACGGGACATTTTGACATTGCTGGAACTCAGTTTCCTTCCAAAAATAAATTCTAGTGAAATTGGGTAAATTGGACAAAGCATTTAGATTCAAGGAACTGCGCATTCTGACAAAATATGGTTCCGTCAATGTTTCTCCAACACCTCTACATTGGAACTTAGCCGCAGGAGGGCAGAAGCTTCACTCCAAAACTCTGCATGCACTGGTATTGAATGGGATAAAGCTTTTGGCTAGTGAATTGCTGCATGATGTCTTGAGGATTAGAAGAGCTATCCTGCATCTAATACCTCAGCAGCATCAAGGCAGTGGGTCAGCCATCACACAAGGGATTCCAGCTCTGTTGTCTGGTGTCCCAGATTGCACAGCATTAGGATGTCACAATTTGGAGTAAGGAAAGTGGAAGCTCAAATGCCACAGATTTGCTGTTGCAGAGCAGAGCCAAGACAGAGTTATTGTTATGACTGGGCAGCCCTTCCTACACTGATGTTCTTCCACCAACATAAATAAAGGAATCCATCCAACCATACATTAAGCAAAAAGAAAAGGAGTACTTGTGGCACCTTAGAGACTAACCAATTTATTTGAGCATGAGCTTTCATGAGCTACAGCTCACTTCATCGGATGCATACCGTGGAAACTGCAGCACTCACGAAAGCTCATGCTCAAATAAATTGGTTAGTCTCTAAGGTGCCACAAGTACTCCTTTTCTTTTTGCGAATACAGACTAACACGGCTGTTACTCTGAAACCATACATTAAGCCACATTCATGCTTTGTTTTCTTTCCTTTCTTCTTTCACACATGAGACAGACAGAAGATGTTTTCCTGGCACTTGCGCAGAATTTGGTCTGATATTCATGGATTTGCCTCAAGAGAAGTTCTGTCTCCTGCAGCAATAGGAAGCCAGAGTCTGCTCTAAATAGGCCTTCCCTCCCCAATCTATTATTCAGAGTGGGGTGGGAGAGGTTCTCTTGGCCTGATCTTCCTATCCCTATTTGCCTTTTTGTTTTAGGGGTAGGGCCCAGAAGGGGTAGGGCCCAGACTAGGAGAAGCTGCCCTCCTAATTCCCTCACTTTGTGCTCCCCTTCCGCACAGTCGGGAGATAGCTTTGTCCAGGAGAGGTTGCAACCTCTAGCTTATCTCCTTCAGTAAATTCCAATTCAATAATGCTTTTTGGCATGATACCTATGATGAATGCGACAAATATGTAAGAGAGCCCACCCCAAGACCTCTGTTATAGGTGGATACAGTATCTCAAGCGTCTGCCAAGATGAGGCTTCAGTGTATTTGGATTTCTGTGAGACTTCTTGCCCATACCTGATTCAGTTTGCTACATAGTGTAATGCTGTCTCCCTCTGTTTCTTAATTTTTTCCTCATTGCTTTTAATTTAAAAGCCTTTTAAATTTCCTGACAGTTTGAAACATCTTTCTTGCACTGGGTGTTAGAGTAGAAGATGTGTGTGTGCCGCAGTTTGTCTTATCTCACTTTGTTTGCAGTCATTATTTTCTTGAGTTATGCCTTGTATCTTCCACTTTCTACTCCAAGTTCATGGTCTCTGATATTGTATTTGGTGAGAGTCTGTCTTATGTCACCACAGCATAATATGTAGAAGTATCTACTAGTGTGATTGTTCTGCATAAGGCTCTCCTGTACAGGGATAGTCAAATTTTTTTTTGTCAAGGTCCACATTTCTTGGTCAAGGTATAGTCAAGGGCCAGACTCCAGAGAAAACAATAAAAAAATTAACAATAATGATGATAATAAGTAAATAAATATATTTTGGGGTCCGTTCAAAAGCATCTGGTGGTCAAGATTTGGCCTGTGGTCTGCCTATTGACGGGCTACTGTGTTTGAAGTGTTAGTATGGTATCTTGAGCACCAGTTGGCTTTGGATGAGGTTATTTGCGCCTACTGATCAGGAACTTAGAAGTGCCCAGAACTAAGAATAATGTATCTTTGCCTTTGGGTTTAGTTTGAAAACAACCTGTCCTGAAGGACGATCCCTCACTCTCACAGACCTTGGGAGACAGGCCAGTCCTCGCTTACAGACAGCCCCCCAACTGAAGCAAATACTCATCAGTAACTACACACCACACAACAAAAATACTAACCCAGGAACCAAACTCTGTAACAAACCCCGGTGCCAACTCTGTCCACATATCTACTCAAGGGACACCATCACAGGACCTACCCACATCAGCCACACCAGCAAGGGCTCGTTCACCTGTGCATCTACCAATGTGATATATGCCATCATGTGCCAACAATGCCCCTCTACCATGTACATTGGCCAAACCGGACAGTCTCTACTCAAAAGAATAAATGGACACACATCTGACATCAGGAATTATAACATTCAAAAACCAATAGGAGAACACTTCAGGCTCCCTGGTCACTCAATAACAGACTTAAAAGTGGCAATTCTTCAACAAAAAAACTTCAGAAACAGATTCCAACATGAAACTGCAGAACTGGAATTAATTTTCAAACTGGACACCATCAAATTAGGCCTGAATAAAGACTGGGAGTGGATGGGTCTTTATAAAAACTAATTTCCCCCTACTGTTACTCACACCTTCTTGTCAACTGTTTGAAATGGGCCACCCTCATTACCACTACAAAAGTGATTTTTCCTCCCTTGGGACTCTACTGTTAATTGAATTGTCTCCTTAGACTGACCCCCAACTTGGTAAGGCAACTCCCATCTTTTCATGTACTATGTATATGTACCTGCTACTGTATTTTCCACTCCATGCATCTGATGAAGCGGGTTCTAGACCATGGAAACTTATGCCCAAATAAATTTGTTAGTCTCTAAGGTGCCACAAGGACTCCTCGTTGTTTCTGGTACTCTGCAGTGGCTTTAGTTGAGATGGCACCAGATGGATGGGGAGGTGACCCAGTTCTGCTATGTAGTCATTGTTGCTGGTGTTCCTCTGTAGGCAGAGTGATTATTTTCTTAACTGCAGAAGGGAAGGTTTCATAGGATTTTTTTTTTAATCACAATCCGTGTAAGCAGCTGTTAAAGCTGAGCCCCAGGCTTCACTGCCCTGCATCGCAATGGGTCGGGTTGCACTGCCCATTGCTGTAGAAGTCGTTTTATTGGTGGGCTGTGTATCTCTAGCAGTGTCTTGCCAGAGCCTTCCTTTGAACTGCCCCCTTAGCCAGCCTGCAGCCCGCGATGGACCCCAGGGTGTGACCCTTGGGGCGTGCGCAATTCCCCCGCGCCTCCGGGATCAAAGGCCAGGTCCTGTAGGTTGTTTGGACTCTTCCCGGGAGTGTCCGGTGGGGCCCAGCGGGGGCGGGTGAGGGGACCCTGCAGAGCCTGGCGTTGTAGGGGCGGCCTTAGCTGCACGAGCCCCAGCGGGCAGGCTCGGCATGGTTGCCATGGTAACTGAGGGACAGCGCGCCTTAGGGATCATCTCAGCCAGTCAGCGCGGAGGGGGCGAGGCCCCGTTGGCCAGGTGGCCAATCACAGCATCGCTGTGAGAGCAAACTAGCGCGACGCGGCCTGGCGGAATGGCGTTGTGCTGAGGAGGAGTGAGGGAGCGGGACCAGCCGGGCGCGCTGGGCGGGGCGCGGCGCGGCGCGGCGCGGCGCAGAGACCGGCGACCCCATAAGGAGCGGGGTGGGGGCCGGCAGGAGCCGGGCACACGATGCGGGACAGCGCTGCCCTGGGGAAGGGGAGCCCGTGTTGCCCGGCGTTTTCCGGGGGGGCCGTGGTGAGCGGGGGGCCGGAGCCCGGCGAGAAGGGGCTGATGTATCCAGAGACGCCTAAGCTCTTGCAGGGGGTGAAGCCGGTGCCTGGGTCAGTGGAAGCCGAGACCCCCAGTGGGTCTGCCCCCGGGGCTCCCCCCGAGGTGCGCCTGTCCCTACGCCGCTGGCCCGTGGTGCTGCTGTTCAGCTGCTACTCGCTCTGCAATGCCTTCCAGTGGATCCAGTACGGGAGCATCAACAACATCTTCGTGCACTTCTACGGCGTAAGCACCTTCGCCATCGACTGGCTCTCCATGTGCTACATGCTCACCTACATCCCCCTTCTTTTCCCTGTGGCCTGGCTGCTGGACAAGAGGGGCCTCCGCCTCATCGCCCTCGCCGGTTCAGCCTTCAACTGTCTAGGCGCCTGGGTGAAGCTGGGCAGCATGAAGCCGCACCTCTTCCCTGTTACCGTCCTGGGGCAGGTCATCTGCTCGGTGGCGCAGGTCTTCATTCTGGGCATGCCCTCGCGCATCGCCTCCATCTGGTTCGGGTCCCATGAGGTCTCTACTGCCTGCTCCATCGCTGTCTTTGGGAACCAGGTAACCTGGGAACCAGGCCCCTCCTCCCTAAATGCTTGGAACCTATGGTGCGCCCATTAAAGTTGGGGGCTGGAGAAGTAATGAAATTCACCGGTGACACTAAATTGGGAAGAGCTGCAATCTCCAGGGAGGACAAGAAATACAGAGAGACCTAGCGACATTAGAAATAACAGGCAGAGATTCATCTGGGAAAAATATGATTTGTATATTTGGCAGGAAATATACTTAGCTTGGCTACGATATTGCTTCGAGAGAAACATAACTCTACTAATCCAACCGAGGGAGAAGGATTATTTAGCATGGTACAAGGGGGTATAATTGGGAAGAACAGGATGATATTGAGAAGGACAATTTAGGTTGAAATATCAGGAAACTCTCAGATTCTGGGGTGTAATGGGCTGTGATATTTTTTCCCAGAGAAAAAAATGGGAGCCTTATTGCTTGGGATATTTAAAATTAGACTAGAAAAAAAGCTAGAAAATGTGTCAAAGGGAGCAGTCGTGTTGGGCCTTATCTCATAGCTCTTCCTCTGATTTTTCTATTTCTGGTTTTGTTGATCCATAGTAAGGCAATGAGCTTCCCCAATAAAATATGCTAGGCAGAGACTTTGCTTCTTTGCACAAGAATGGAGCAAACTCTTCTAAGCACTTTAATGCCAAGGCAGGTCAGTGAGGTGGTTGTGATGGACATTCCTACAAGATGTAACATTCTTCACCTGCAGCCAGTCCACACTTGAAAAGAAATTTTTTCTAACTTCTGAAACCAGAACAGGGAAATCACTTCTTGACCCTTGCACCTGAATGCCTCAATGATGCACATTGCATGAAATAAATGCATCAGCAACATTACAACATGGCTTTGGAAGGCAATTCATGCTGTATGAATATTAAAAGCAGAGGATCGCTAAAACCAAACACTAACTATTGGACTGGCACGTCTTCAGTGCGTAGGCAGTGTCCCAGATTTTATCTAGTTCAGACCATGGGTGGGGTGCAATAGGAATGGTTTGGCATTCAGTCTGCTTTGAATATATAGTTCTGTGTATGAAGCAGTGGCACAGTACATGATGTCCTCCCTGCCCAGTAGGAGTGTCTCATGGATTTGAGAAGGAAGCTGGGTGTGTGGGTGCCTCACACCACGTAGTGCCCCGGAAGCATGTAGAGCATTAAATGATGAGTCCAACAACATCCCCCCCCCCCCCCCCCCCCCACACACACACACTGATTTACTACCTCTGCTGGAATTGCATCCAGTCTGGATGCTACTAAGTCATCCCTGCTCAATATGCCTTATTCCTGGAGCTCAAAGTTGCTTCTGAAAAGCAAATCAGTAAATGAATCTGATTGCACCAACTTTCAGGTGTAATTTAAAAAAAAAATTCCAGTAGAGAGAATCGAATTCTCCGCCCTTGGTCCCATTCACAGGGTCTCACCTGACTTTTCACTTCAAATGCCATGATCTGATCACTGTTAAATCAAACACTGTCAATAGACTCGGGAGTTTCTAGAAATAAAGTGTAACCACTTCCAGCAAAGGCCCATCAGATTCATTTGTTTGCACAGTGCTGCTTTCTCCCACTTTACTTTTCAAAAAGCATTTTGTCCAAATGGGGAAATGAATAGATTTCCCCATTCTTTCCCCTGCAAATACTTGCACTCCTGGGACATGGTACAGGGCTTATTTCAGAAGGATCTTTATGGGAGCCCCTTATTGAAATGTTGGTAGCACTTCATTGGCCATAAACCCAAAAGATCAGCATGTAATGATTTTTCGTGAGGCTCTGTGTCCTAGACGAAGAAAATAGGGAGAGCAGCCTATTCTTAATAGCCTTCTACTGAATTCTTCAAGCAGTGTAAAAACAATAAACATGCTTCAGAATTGCCATGCTGTGTGGAGGGATCTCTGCTGAGATCCTGACAATGTCACCTGTAATCTGTAGCTTACTTGATAGTGGAGTTCCACAGTGACCGTGTGTGTGCGCGCGCGCGCAGGGGCACCCAACCAGGATTTGTCATTTCACTTTAAGGGCTGAACAAACTTATTCCTTGAGACCCAGGGGACTGAATCTTTCTCTAAACACCATTAGCGCCCAGTGGTGAGCGCAGGAGAAATATTTAGCTTGCTAGCGAGATTGTTTCCTTGTAAGTTCTGAAAGTCCTCCGGGGTTACATTGATCGTTGGTAAGGAGCCATAGGAAGAAATCTGGTAATCAGCTGTTCTTCCTGACAGTCTGGGCTGCTCATTTTCACCCTTGTTTAAACCTCTGAACTACTGAGCTGTGACCACGTTTATTTGCTCCCATTGGGCTTGCTGGCAGCTGCTTGTTATGTGGAGTGCAAGGGGCACAAGATTAGCTGTTGCCAAGAGGGAGAGGTATAATCAGAGCTTTGTGTTTTTTGCTAATGTGAAATAAAATGAAAAACCCCACAGCGACAGCTCCTGTCTCAACGGGCTGGGCCTGTCTCCCTGCTCTGGCTGTTGCGTTGTGGTCCATGGTCATAGCGTTTCTCTGGTTTGTCCGGCTCCCTGATGAGGTAGCTCACTGGGCCAAATATGAGTGAGTGGCGTTGTGACCTGGTGCATGGGTCACAGCCCCACTCACTCAAATTTGTCCTGTCCAGTCCCCCCATCATCACTACAGAGGAGCAACCGGGCCAAACCTGAGCAGCAGTGTGACCCCAAGGTGGGAAGCTGGGCCCAGCACCCAGGACAGGAGACACTGCTGTTGGGTGACGGTGGGATGGGCTCGCTCTGCAACCCACCCCCAGGGTCTCCCCGTTCCCTGGGGCAGGACCCAACACCCTCTACCGTTCCCCCTGCCCTTGGTCTTCCACCTCCCCAGGGGCTGGACTCAACCTGTGGGGCGGGGAGAATAGATAAGATGAAATAACAAGAAATTTCTGAAAATAAAACAAACAACTGTAGAAAATCAAAAGAATTTCAGGGGGTTCTATGTACGATCCTCTCTCTCTCTGTTAGCATAAGGTGAGAGCATCTGTTTGCATTTCTATGATTCCTCTTTCCTGCTTCCACCTCTGGAGTCTGCTTCTGTATCAGACTGGGGCTGGACCCTGCTTCTGGTTCTTGCCCTGCTACTCAGGTCATGCATGTTCTGACACCAGGGAAAGAGACAACTGATGGGTCTGGAGTAAGGACACTGCAGGAGAAGAGTGCGTGTCTATCTGTGGGAAGCTTTTTCCTCTGCCCTTATTCTGTCTCTTACAAGTAGTTGAAGACATTGATGTGGATAGGTCCGTGTGAGGCTCTGTACCTTGGGGGAACACCCAGCACTCCCTTGTTCATCCTTGTAAAATGATTGTGTGATATCCAATGCAAAGTTTGTCATGTCGGGTGTCTTCAGAGGGCTTATGATGCACTGAGCATTGTTTTTATAGTGATGTTATAGTAATTGTTAAAAGAAAAGGAGTACTAGTGGCACCTTAGAGACTAACCAATTTATTTGAGCATAAGCTTTCATGAGCTACAGCTCACTTCATCGGATGCATTCGATGCATCTGATATAGTGAGCTGTAGCTCACGAAAGCTTATCCTCAAATAAATTGGTTCGTCTCTAAGGTGCCACTAGTACTCCTTTTCTTTTTGCGAATACAGACTAACACGTCTGCTACTCTGAAACCGATAGTAATTGTTGTTACAGTAATGTTATAGGTTGTAATTTCATGTATATAGTTATGAGGCTGAAAATGTGCCTTCATGGCTTAAAATAAACCCAGGCAAAAACTTTCCAGAAGCAGAGGGGCAGTTCACACCTCATCAGGGCATGTGTGGGACAAACCCAACCCAGCCATACAGGAACAAAGGACACTGGCCTAGGCAGCAACAAAGGATCTGTTGACTCTCGAGTGAGTCACCCGCGTTCCTTTGGTCAGTTTGGGGCTGCGATGAGGTAATGCTTACCTGACTCTGAAGTGGGGGGCAAAGCCAAGAGGGAAGAAAGGACATCATAAAAGGATGAGACGTTTGCCATGCTCTTCCTCTCTCTTCCACCTCCATCTACAGACATCACCACCAAGCGACTGAAGCCCTGATCAAAGGGGAGAGCCTGGCTGAAGGGCAACCAGCCAGCCTGTGGTGAGAAGCATCTAAGTTTGTAAGGGCATTGAAAGTGTTAAGATCAGCTTAAAATGCGTTTTGCTTTTATTTCATTTGACCAAATCCAACTTATTGTGCTTTGATTTATAATCACTTAAAATCTATCTTTGTAGTTAATAAATCTGTTTGTTTATTCTACCTGAAGCAGTGCATTTGGTTTGAAGCATGTCAGAGACTCCCTTTGGGATAACAAGCTTGGTGCATATCAATTTCTTTGTTAAATTGACAAACTCATATAAGCTTGCAGCGTCCAGTGGGCATAACTGGACACTGCAAGATGGAGGTTCCTAGGATTGTGTCTGGGACCGGAGATATTGGCTAGTGTCATTCGGTTGCACAATCCAAGGAGCTGCTTACATGCCAGAGGCTGTGTGTGAACAGCCCAGGAGTGGTGGGTTCTCATAGCAGATCAGGGGAAGGCTGGCTCCCAGAGTCAAGGACTGGAGTAACCTAGCAGATCACCAGCCTGGATAACACCAGGGGAATGTCATAGTAAGAAGGAGAGTTTTATTGACTTAGGTTGATTTGATTTTTGGCTCTGGGGAGAATGCAGCCACTTGATGTGTTCTTAGGTGGAGTCACTGTGCTGACTCTGAGGAGGCTGGACTGCACTGCAGCTGGTGTTTTAGGGCTTCCGAGGTGGAAGCTGCCTGGGGAAAACCAGGATTTTTGTGTATCAGGGACGAATCCCAGCCCCACTCTGATTAGCTGGTCTGTAACACCCCAATCACGGATCAGTTGCTTCTGTACAGGGGGACTTCGCAGCACTGTTTGTACCATGCCTACGACTCTGCTTAACATCTCATTGCACGGGTGCACCTTGCCTGAAGAGTTTTCACTGCAGAATAATGCTTTCCCCTAAAAGCCTGATAAATGATCAGGATCCC